ATCTACCCCTAAAAATGTAACCCAAATTCTTTTACATGCTGAGCACACACCTTAGTGAATGGCATTCGTACCCCCAATATTTATCTTTTAAGTTCAGCAGGAGAATATCTGAAACCACATACAACTATTTCCACTGGCCTTTAAAATTCCAGAAAATGTTTTCATTTATTTACCTTTTGGTAACAGATGCTTTGGTGGTTACATAAAAATGATTAAAAAGCATTTCATATGAAAAATGATTGAATGTACATGTATGATTATATATAATGTATATTCATCTACTCTAAACTTGGTTGAGAAATAAAACATTACCAGTAAGATTGAAGCCCTTTGAAATATGTTCTCATATGGCTTCTAAAGACATGACCTTGTTCTAAGTTTGATTCTTATTGTCTTTTTGCCTTTTAAAAAATACAGTTTAAATGTGACATCAGTGATTTGTGCTTAAATAAGTGAATTAAAACTGTTGGGTCTGTGACTGCTGTTAGAAGGGCTCATCGCTCCTGAGCAGGTGTGTCGCTGTTCGGCCATCTTCATCCAGGAAGTTGGTTTCTGCTGCTACTGAAGACATACTTTAAAAAAAAACCATAAATTATCCTGTGTTCTTCATATTATTAAACAAAATGAAGAAATACAGATGGAGCTTAGAGAGGTTAGCTAGTTTGAACAAATCACACAGTAAGTCAAAGAGCAAGAACCAGACTCAGTTCTTTCAAGTTCTGGTCAGGCCCTGCTTTTTCCCTCCAGGGCATAATGCACATACATTTTAGAATAAGCAGCAGAGTCCTCCTTAAGGAAAGGGAGGGGATGGTGTGGCAAGAGAAGAAAAGAGGTTTTTTTTCCCTCAAATATTTTAATACTTATTTGGGAAAAAAAAATAGCAGAGTTTTTTTTTTTATCAACCTAGGAGCTTCATATAGAATGAGAAGACCATGTGTCTTCCAGAGTTTTTAAATTGCTTTTGCATTTTTCAAAAAAAAAATGATAATTTAGATACTAAGAGGGTTTTTACTAGTCTCTTCACCTTCAGTCAATTTTCTAACCTCTTTAAATACTGGACCAGAAAAACGCACATGTCTGTCTAGTTTTTGATATATTTTGTCAGTCAGGACTTTAATTACTTTTCCCTTTTTATAGTTTGTGCTATGTTCATGGCAGAAATAACTTTCTATTTGGAAAAGCATTTGGGTTTTCTTCTTTAGTACAGGCGCACGACAGTGAAAATGGCACAGTGAGGGTTTTCAGATATGCTCCGAAAGTCTCTGTGGAGAGAAATCTTCTCAGTGTAGCCACGGAGATCCACATGCAGGGACTTTCTTTTTGGGTCTTTTACTCCTGGAAATTCAATTCAGTTTTAGCTGAATGACTAAACCTGACTCATAATGTTTACACGAGGCCATGATCCTCTTATGAACAAAACTGCAGCTAAAATCTGTTCCTTCAAAATCAAATAGCTGGTTTAATAAGCTATTTGCTTCCTTCCACATGGACATATACTTGGGTACTTATAAAACTATGAATCATACTCTTTTTAAAAATGATTTTTATTTATTCTTTGAGGATTTTATACAGCATATTTTATTTTTAAATTTTTTATTTATTTTTCTATTATACAATATATTCTTACCACAGCTTTCCTTCCTTTATTCCTCCTAGTCGCCCCCACCTGCCCACATCTCCCCACCCCACCCTTCCATCCCCCGAAAAAAGCAGGCCTCCCACAGACAGCAACTGAACACAGCATAACAAGATACAATAAGATCAGGCACAAACCCTCACATCGAGGCAGGGCAAGGTAACCTTGAGGGAAGAAAACAATCCCAAGAGCAGGCAAAGAGTCAGGGACACCCCACTTCCACTGCCAGGAGTCTCCCCCAAACAGCCCACCAACAACCATAACATCTATGCAGAAGACCTAATGCAGACCTGTGCAGGCTCTCTGCTCCTTTGGTCTCCTTGAGCCCTCATGCACCCTACTCAGCTGATTCCATCCACGGTCAGTGCCCTACCAGTGTCCCTCACTCTGCCTCTCATAGTTCCTCCTCCTGCTCTTCTGTAGGGTTCCCTGAGCTCCAGGCCAAGAGGAGGAACCCAACAGAGAACTAAACCTGGCTTCTCTCTCCCTGTCTAATGTTAGCCAGTGGGTCTCTGTATCCCCTCCCACGAGCTGCTGGGGGAAGCCTCACTAATGATGACTGGTTTAGGCATGAATCTATAAGTAAAGCAGAATATCATTAGGAATTATCTCATTGAATTTTTTTTTAAAGTCATGTTTAGTTCTATCTGAGGTTTCTAGGCTCAGAAACTCTCTAGTTTCTGGCCATCCAAACAGTGTCAGGCACGGTCTCCATTTCATGTAGGGGACTTCAAGTTAAATAAGTCATTGAATGGACACTTCCACAAGTTCTGTGCCACAATTGCTCTAGCACATCTTGCAGGCAGGACAGATTGTAGGTAGAAAGTTTTGTGGCTGGGTTGGTGCCCCAGTGCCTCCACTGGAAGCCTTGCCTGGTAATAGAAGATGGACAGGGAAGGACAGTGTATCCTCCATTACTAGGAGTCCTCTCTGGGGTCACCCAGAGATTCCTGGGAGTTTACACTGCATTAGTTTTCCATATTGCCCCTCAAATACCCCCAGTTAAAAATCGTCTCTCTCCATTTCCTCCTCTTCCACACCCACTTGATCTCTCCTATTCCCATTCCCACTCTCCCCGAGTCCACCTACTTCCCCCTTCTAGGTAGATCCATGTGTCCTCCCCTTGAGGCCTCCTTGTTAATTAGTCTTTTGGACCTATGGATTGTAGCATGATTATCTTTTACTTAACAGCTAATATCCACTTATAAGTGAGTACAAACCATGTTTGTCTTTCTGAATCTGGGTTATTTCACTCAGGATGGTTGTTTCTAGTGTCATTCATTTGCCTGCAAATTTTATGATGTCATTTTTTTGTATAAATATACTACATTTTCTTTATCAATTCTTTGGTTGAGAGATACCTAGATTGTTTCCAGTTTCTGGCTATTATGATGAACATAGTTGAGCCAGTGTCCTCATGGCAGAATGGAGCATCCTTTGGGTATATGGACAAAAGTTATATAGCTGGATCTTGAGGTAGATCGATTTCCATTTTCTGAGGAATCACAATATTGATTTTCATAGTGGTTGTACAAGTTTGCACTCCCACAAGCAGTGGAGGAGTGTTCCCCTTGTTCCACATCCTTGTCAGCATGAGCTGTCACTTGTGTTATTGATCTTAGCCATTCTGACAGGTGTAACATGGAATCTCAAAGTAGTTTTGATTTCCATTTCCCTGATGGCTAAGGATGTTGAACATTTCTTTAAGAGTTTCTCAGCCATTTGAGATTTCTCTATTGAGAATTCACTGTTTAGATATGTACCCCATTTTCAATTGAATTGGTTTTTCTTTGGTATCTAGTTTCTTGAGTTCTTTATATATTTTCAATATAAGTCCTCATCAGATGTGAAATTGGCAAAGGTTTACCATTCTGTAGGTTGCCATTTTGTGCTATTGATGGTGTCCTTTGTCTTTCAGTGTCCTGAGGTCCCATTTATTAACTGTTGACCTTAGTGCTTGCACTACCGATGTTCTGTTCAGGAAGTTGTCTACTGTGTCAATTTGTCCAAGGCTATTCCCCACTTTTTTTTCTATTTGGTTTAGTGTATCTGGTTTAAGCTGTGGTCTTTGAACCAGTTGGACTTAAGTTTGGTGCAGGGTGATAAAGATGGGTTTATTCACATTCTTCTACATGCAGATATCCAGCACCATTTGATGAAAATGCTTTCTTTTCTCCATTATTTATTTCTGGGTTCTTTATCAAAAATCATACATCCATAGGTGTGTGGATTTGTGTCTGGGTCTTCAATTCAATTCTATTGATCAACCTGTCTGTTTTTATGCCAAAACCATGTTTTTTTTTTTAATTGATGTAGCTCTGTAGTAGAACTTGAAATCAAGAATGGTGATACCTCTGAAGGTTCTATTATTGTTCAGGATTGTTTTAGCTATCTTGGGTTTTTGTTCTTCAATAGGAAGTTGAGTATTGTCCTTTCAAGATCTGTAAAGAATTGTGTTGGAATTTTAATGGGGACTGCAATGAGTCTGTAGATTGCTTTTGATAGGATGTTCATTTTTACTATATTAATCCTACTGCTCCATCAGCATGAACGATCTTTCCATATTTTGATGTCTTCTATTTATTTCTTCAACATATTAAAGTTCTTATCATACAAGACTTTCAGTTGCCTGGTCAGAGTTACCCCAAGATATTTTACATTATTTGTGGCTATTGTGAAGGGTATTGTTTCCATGATTTCTTCCTCAGCCCATTTATTGTTTGTATAAGAGGGCTGCTAATTCCTTTTTTAAAAGTTAATCTTGTATCCAGTCACTTTGATGAAGGTGTTTATCAGCTGTAGGAGTTCACTGGTAAAACTTTTGGGGTCGTTTATGTCATACAGTATATTTTAAATCATATTAATTCCCCTCTCCCAACTCCTTCTAAATCCTCCCCCACATCCTCATCTATTTATCTCTATGTTCTTTCTTTCTTAAAAAACAAAACAAACTGGAACAAACAAACAAACAAAACCATGAAATCCAGATTGTACTGATTGACTACTCCTGAACATGGGGCTTACCCTGGAGTGTGGTTGACATACTCAGTGTCACACCACTGAAAATATTTGATTTCCTCTCTCCCAGCAGCTTCTTGGCTAGAAGTGGGACATTGTGCTCACCTCCTCTTCTTCACACTGACACTTTGTTCAGCTTGAACTGTGTAGGTCTTATACATTCTGTCAGTCTCTGTGGCATGACACACAAATGGGGTTTCCTTGGAGCCATACATTCCCTCTGGCTCTTAAAACCATTCCACTTGCCTCTTCCACATAGATCCTGAGGCTTTAGGGCAGGGGTGTTATAAACATCTCACTTAGGGCTGAATATTCCAAAGTGTCTCATTCTGTAAATTATTTTCAGTTGTGAATCTCTGTGTTGCCATCTACTGTAAGAAGATGCTTCTGTGATGAGAGTTGGGGAATCTAATGATCTAAAGGTATAGTAGTATGCTACTAAGATTCATTTTATTGCTGTGTTCCTTTCACAAAATAACGCCGCAGATTTCCCCCATTAATCATGTTTTTAGGGTGCTATAAATGTATTTTTTTTAATTTTTATTTTTCCATTCAATTATTTACACTTTCTTCCCTCCTCCCAATCCCCTCCTGCTCCCCCACACCCCCCTCCTTTCTCTCCTGCCCTGCTTGAGAGAGGGAACCCTGCTCTGTGGGAAGTCCAAGGCCCTCCCCCCTATATCCAGGCCTAGGGAGCTGTGCATCCATATAGACTAGGGTCCCAAAAAGCCAGAACATGCCGTAAAAACAAGTCCCAATGCCTTTACCAATGGCTTCGCAGTCAGCCCCCATTGTTAGCCACAATCAGAGAGTCCGGTTTGATCACATGCTCATTCAGACCCGGTCCAGCTGGATTTGGTGAGCTCCCATTAGAACAGGCACACGGCTTCAGTGGGTGGACGAACCCCTCATGGTCCTTGTTGGAAGCAAACAGGATTGCAGGACAAAAGCTGTGAGCATGGGGGTGGGGGCAGGGGTGGGGGTGAGTTTGGGGGAAGGGGAGAAGGGGAGAGGGAAGGGAGAAGGGAAGGACTGGCAAGAGATTGGGGGAGTGGGAGGGTGAAGATGGAGGAAGGGCGGATATAGGAGCAGGGAAGAAGATGCCTACAGTAAGGGATCCATTTTAGGGTTGGCAAGAGACTTGGCTCTAGAGGGGATCCCAGGTGTCCACGGGATGTTCCCAGCTAGGAACATTGATGATTATCTCGAATATCACCATAGTATCTTCATCTGACGACAGATGGAGATAGAGACAGAGACCCTCATCAGAGCAAAGGACTGAGCTCCCAAGGTCCAGTTGAAAGGCAGAAGGAGAGAGAAGATGTTTTCAAAATGTTTTTCTTTAGTTACATGTTTGTGTGTTGTCCCCCCCCCCCCCCCCGCCCCCAGTATCTCACTTGGAAGCCCAGGCTGGTCTTTCACCCACCGTCCCTCAAAGTTTGGATTACAGTCAGGAACCACTGTACCTAGCATGTGATAGTTGTATTATAATAATAAAAGTAGGCAGACTACTTATCTTTGAATATATTAGGCCAAATTATCTTTTGGGAGTTGGCTTGCAGAGATAGATCAGTGCTTAAAAAGAGCACTGACTGCTCTTCCAGGGGATGGTGGGATCCCCACTACCCTCGCAGTGGTACACAATGTCCATAGATCCAGCTCCAGGGGATTGGTGGGATCCCCACTACCCTCACACAATGTATATAGCTCAAATTCCAGGGGATTTGGTTCCTGCTTTTGACTTCATCATGCATATGGTACGCAAATATACATGTAGACAAAACATGAATACACAAGAAATAAAAATAAACCTGAAAGATACCTTATGGGTTCAGTAGGTTCTGGTAAAAAGATGCCACATCATGTTAGGCTGGGGAGTGGAACTCTTAGAGTTCATGACCTTTCTGTCAGGGCATGGCATGGGCCAAGGTCAATACTGTCTTTCTGTTGAGGAATGGCATAGGTCCAGGTCACTATACACATTTTCTTTCATCTAGAAAGACTTTTTTGGTGGGGTATATAATTGAGAATATTTTTAAAAATTTAAAAAATCTAAGTGCAATTTGTGGGGAATCTTTGTACTTTAAAAAATTTTCTATACTGATTAAATTTTCCTCATATTGCTCCAAAAGGTAGAAAAAAACCCTCTGAAATATGGTACTCATTGCCATGGTTTTTTTTTTCAGGATTATTCAACATTTCTATGCCCTTTTTATTTTATTAATTTTTGACACTCCTATAATCTCAACAGCATATTTGTGTACTCCTTTTTCTTCAGTTCTTAGTGACTTAATTTTTATCCAACTTGAAATTTATTTTCAATATATATATTTTTTCATGGAACCAACCAATATATTTGTTTCTGCAACCACAAAATTTGTCTTTGGGTGAAAGAATTAGAATTTTATTCAATAAATGTTGTCTGGAATGTCCCTAGAGAAGAATCAAATACCATTTTTCAGTTAAGTGGATACAGTAATAAGTGAATTCCCATGACTTGTTACACCCATAGATTAGTGCCTCTCTCAGGCCTCATTTAAGAAGGTTCTCTCTGAAGTAGATGCTGATAAACACACCACAATCAGTCATAATGCAGAGAATAAGAGAGTGTGGGTGCTTAGGTCTAGACGAAATTTCTACATCATTTCTTATCCCCAAGGCTGAGAGAGGATCTCAGAAGGCAGGGCAGAAAGAGCCAGAGCTGGTAGCTCTCTAGTGAAACAGTATTTTCTGGCTGTGACAGTGCAGTTGCACACATGAGCTCACAGTGACTGGGGTTTCAGGCACAAGACTTGCACAAGACCAAGCCAAGCAAAATTCCAGTGTGAATGAGAGAGAGACTCATGCAGTCCCACCCTTAGCTGAGGAGCTATTTGCAATTGTTGGCTGCCGAGGGAGAAAGAATCAGCTTTCTTCAAGGATGAGTGGCTTTGAAACACTGCCCATGCTTGAGTAGACGGTTCCATAGCCATGCTCATAGAGAGAGCACTACATGGAGTCAGGATAGGAAGGAAAGGAACGGCAGGTGAGGGGTGGTAGATTTGATCCAAATGTATTATATTATACATGAATATTTAAAAAATTCATCAAGGATTATAAGACTATGACCTGATAGCCACCTTGATTTTTTTTTGAAGAAAAAAACTTCAGATAATAGTTTGGGGCAATAAAAATCATAGGTTTCATGCCATGTATCCTGAGTATTATATGATATTTTTTGTCTTCATTTCAGTTTTAAATTTTTCTCATTATTTTAAAAATATTTTGTTTGCTGGGCAGAGGTGGTACACCCCTCTAATCCCCACACTTGGGAGTCAGAGGCAAGTGGATCCCTGTGAGTTTAAGGTCAGCTTGGTCTACAAAATGAGTTTCAGGACAGCCAGGACTGATACACAGAGAAAACACAATAATGTTTTTATTTATAAAAAACAAATTAATAATTTTTATAAATTATAAATTAAACAATAAAATTAACATTAATAATAATTTAGAAAAACAGGAACCTATTTTTTGCTAACCTAAACAACAGGCCTCTTATGCTAGTTAGGTTAGCAAGTAATAGGTTCCCGTTTTCCTAATGTATAACCAACAATTTATTTTATTTAAAGTTAAGGCACACTACATACTTAAAAAAAACCACTGTGATCTGGTCTTAAACACACATAAGCTTTGATACTATTGTGGAACTTCTAGAGAATTTCTTAGGCTCATCACTTTATTAGATAATATTAAAATCATATTTAGCTCTCTTAAAAGAACTACACTTGGGTTTATCCAAGTGTGGATAACTGTCTTAGATTTTAGAAGGTTGACAAAAATACTAACACTTTCCCTATAACAATAGCAGCCTTTCTTGGCCTGTGGTTTTTTTTTCTTTGTAAAAGTGTAGGTATACAAGTCTAGGAGAATATCTTTAGGAATCATTTCACTGATTTCTTTTGAGAAGCTTCTTCCAGCAGCAGAGACATACAAGCAGACATTTGTGAACAGACAGTTTAAATTGGAGGTCTCCATTAGGTCCCTTGTCTTGGAGGTTGGGGAACCCTGTGGCAGAGGGACAAGAAAGATTATAGGAGTCAGAGGGGATGAAGGACACCAGAAGGACATGGCCTACCAAATCAGCTAAGCAGGCCTTGCTTGGGCTCACAGAGACTGAAGTGACATGTACAAGGTCTGCACGGGTCTGCACCAGGGCCTCTGCATATATGTTGTGGCTGCTAACCTGATGCTTTTGTGGGGCTCCTAACAGTGGGAGCAAGTACGCCTCCCACTCTATCTCCTGCTTTTGGAATATTTTTTTCTCCTCGCACAGCTTTGATATGCAGGTGTTTGCCTTGTCTTATTATTTCCTGTTTTGTTATGTTTGGATAGTGTCTGCTGGAGGCCTCTCTTTTCTGAAAGGAAATGGAGGGAGAGTGGATCTGGGAGGAGTGCAGGGAGGGAAAACTGTGGTGGGATGTATAGTATGAAAGAAGAATCTATTTTTAATTAAAAAAAGTAAAAACAGACAAATTATCTATCTATCTATCTATCTATCTATCTATCTATCTATCTATCTAT